TAGCTATTAGAAAATTTTAATTACATATGTGCCTCATACTTGCAGTTCACATTGTATGTCTACTGGACAATATTGCTCTAGAAACATTGTGAGTACTGGGCAGAAATTAAAAGAAGGCAGATGTAGGCTCTCTGCAAAAAAAGAAAACCATTAGAACTGCTAATAAATGAAAGTTTTTTTTAACACTGGTGAACTCTCAATCATTAAGTGATGAAGAGGCTGTATTAATATTTGTTAGAAATGTCTACAGAGAACCCCTGATTTGGAGGGAGGTAGGACGAAATGACCTCTTTGTTGTTGGTTTGTTTTAGGTTTTTTTCCTAGTTCTAAAACTCTGTAATTCTAAGAGATTTCAGTACAACCAGAGAAGCTACCAGGCGATCAATTAAGAATTTTAAGAACATTCCTCTCTTTTCTGAACTTTCCCTAGAACCCTGTAGAGGGTCTAGGAAGAGCCCAAGCTGACTATATAAATGAATTTGACACTGTTAAGACTAGTGTTAAGTTGGGAGGAGCACAGGATAGCTCATTATGAACAACGAATGGAAAAACATCTTTAAATTGCTGACGCCATTATTATTGGTTTCACAAGCCTTCATTAAATGTCTTCTGTTTGTGAGGCACTGTGCTCTAAGTTTTAAAAGGTTCTAATCTAGAAGATAAATGCTTGCCTACAAGCTGCTTAGATTTCAAAAAATGAAAGCACTGAGCACCTTGCTTAAACACAGTGAATAAATGTGAACTGGAGCGCTAAAAATTAACACAATGACTACCAGGTGAGTTGTATTTAACTCAGGCTATTGCGGGCCCGGGGCCTCGTGAAGCAAAACCCTGCAGTTGGTTCCTGAAAATCTTACTTGTTGATGTTCTTATTGTTACAATTTAATTCTAAAAATGTGGATTACGTTGCATGTAACTCACACACAGAAAACAGTAAGAAATAACAAATTAGAAATAACAAATAGAAATAACAAATTAGAAAGGATCATTTTGTTTTAATAAAACACCATGGCCCCAAGGAAAATTTTCTTTCTAGTGTGGCGGTCAATATCATAAAAATATCAGCATTTATAAGGAATAATCAGCACAAACAGTTAAGTAAGGAGCGAAGAGTCACTGGACAGCAAATCAGAGACCTGCCTTCTCTTAGTTTCAATTCCTAACAGCCACATGGCTAGGCAATCCACAAGGCCTCTCTCTCTACGTTCAATTTCATCATAAGTAAAATGAGACCACTACCAATGCTGTATATATCTAGCCTAACTGTAAGAATAAAATGAGAAAATGTTTGTAAAAGTGATTTTTTTAAATATTAAAGCCATACAAATATATGTTATTTCAGTATTACTATTTTGAGTTGGATCCAAAAGAACAGAGTGATTATACTGAAGTAGGAGACAATCTTGAGAGGAGGCAAAGTGTGAGAACAAGAAAAAGAAGGAATTCACAAGTGAGGAGGTTAGGACAACAAGCACATTGTAAACTCCTACAACAGGAAACACCTGTGTCTAGTTCACCTTGCAAAGAAGGTCATTAATCTGGGCTTTTAATAATGACTTTAACAAAGGTTTAAATAAAGCCATACAGTTTACAAAAACCTAAATGCTTACAGTATTTGACAGAGTAGAACTCTAGGAGAGAATCGGTATTACGTCATTCCTATTTTAATGCATGAAATTCCAAGAACTATGTTTAAGGTCACACAGGTGGAAGATCCAGGGCCACGACCCAACTATCCTCATTCCTAACCCAAGCGCTCCTTACATCAGACCTGGAATGCTGGTAAAGGCGTTTAAAACAAAGGCGACCTGTGTGGCACCTAGAGCAGGAGGCTTCACAGTGTCTGTCTTTCACCGTCACATGCTCCGCCTAACTTTTCCTCTTTCTTCAAAGACGACCCAACATTTGTATGAGTTTGACATCTCTGTGCTGACCTATGTAGGAAACAGGACACATCGCCAAACCCATTTTACGTTTAAAAACACAAACCACCACATCTCAGGGAGTGGACGGGTTCTTCGGTGGATGGATACGGAGAAGCCAAAAATTAAATTCAAATCTGCTGGCTCCAAGCCCAGGTTCTTTCCACCATTCCACCTTTCAAGCTTTCCACTTTGCCTGCCTCAGCCCGGGAGGTGCCACTGGCACCTAAGCACCCTGCTATGAATAGCCGGCAAGCTGAGAAGAGAGACTGCTTATCTCTTAAATGACAGAAATGTAGAGGTGGCCGAAAAAGCCACGGCGGTGTTGTTTTGGAAAATGTCTTTAGACTTTGCAAAAAACTACTATAATTGAAGTTTAGGAATCATTACAAACCAGGTCTCCAAGAAGCAGCTTAAAACCCAGTTCGCGTACGAGCATCTAAATCACAGCTTTTAGTTGGTTGGACATGGTGGTTCCCCAAACTACACACACGGTTCGCCCGGCTACTGCTAACGTAAACTTGGAGGCTAACAAGAGGCGCAGCCAGCTATCCATCCGACGGCGAATTTTCCCTCTTTCCAACCCAAAAGTTTGCTCAATGGACCTCTGGCCTAAAGACAATACTCCCAGGGAACTGCGAGCGTATGGAAGGGATTCCCGGAGAGAAAGGCAGCCCCAGCCTCCCGTGGGTAGAAGACACGCTCGTCCCCTCGGAGCTGGCGGTGCGCCTGGGTCCCCAGGAACAACAGGCCGGGCTCCGCGCCCCTCGCCCGGCGGCCGCAGCCCCTACCTGAGCAAGGAGGGCAGTCGAACGCGACCCGCCGCCGCCGCCGCCTCTCTGCGCCTCCGCTTCGGCCAGCCGCCCACGCTGGTGCGGCCGCCGCTTCCTGCTCCTCGTCAGCGCCCCCGCCTGCCCGCACGCACGCCCAGCGCTGACCCGCCAGGTCGGGGTCTCGCCACTGGCGGCGGCGGCGGCGGCTGAGGAGGCGACTCGGCCTGGGGCTCCGCCCGCCACTTCCTGATCTGGCTCTAGGAGCTCAGTCCCGGCAGCCACCGCGGCGTTTTCACCGCCGAGAACGCGCATGCGTCATCGCGTGCCCCGCCCGGGCTACCGCGGGAGGAGCGCAGCCCGCTCAGGCGTCCTGGGATCTCCATGACAACGGGAGCGCGACTTGGGGCGGGGCCGAGAACAGGTGGGAGGTAGCGGGTAGCCGGTGCTAGGGAAGATGGAAAACATCTTCCTATTCAGAATTTTTATTTATTTATTTTTTTGAGACAAAGTCGCTCTGTTGCCCGGGCTAGAGTGCCGTGGCATCAGCCTGGCTCATGGCAACCTCAAACTCCTGGGCTCAAGCGATCCTTCTGCCTCAGCCTCGCGAATAGCTGGGACTACAGGCATGCGCCACCACGTCCCTCTAATTTTTTGTTATTTTTACTAGAGACGGGGGGTCTCACTCTTGCTCTGGCTGGTCTCGAACTCCTGACCTCAAGCAGTCCTCCCCCCTCTGCCTCCCAGAGTGGTAGGATTACAGGAGTGAGCCACCGCCACTAAAAAAAATAGAAAGAAATTAGCTGGGCAACTAAAAATAGGAAAAAAAAAAAAAAAAAGGATTTTGTGATAAACCTACATGAT